CCCCAAAACCCCAAAACCCCAAAACCCCAAAACCCCGTTAAAACAACTGCTCTTTGAAGTTAATCATAATAAAATTTACAAACTTAATTTTTCTGCAAAAATGAATTTAAAGGAAAATTATACTACACTGGAGGCTCAATACAGTGCTTTCATGGCTGATGAGGAAGAAGCACAAGTGGAAAACATCCCTTCACCTGTGAAATATGATAGATATCCGACTAATAGAGCTATTCCTCTCCGAACTTGAAATAATAATGCCTCACTGAGACCTAAGGAAAGAGGAAATAAGCTGAATATTTCTGTACAACATCAGTCATTCAATGATTTGAAGATTTGCTCCACCCTAACTAATAGTAACAAGAAAGCTAGCAAAGACTATCCTTATCGTGAGACCTTGAAGGGCAAAGATCAACACAGAATGAAAAAGAATATTTTATGTAGTACTAAAACTAAGTCGACACTCAGAGTTCAAACTGATTGTCACTTAAAGAGCAGACCGAGGTCAAAGATCGCTCCTTCAAGCTCTCATTCGTCAAGTTCTTACTACAAAGACACAAGTATCAACAAAGGTAAGAAGAAAGTTTGCAAAAAGCCACTGAATTTCAGAAGTATTGATCAGAAATAACCAGTCTAAACACAAGAAAGGTGGAAGAGGGAACACTCTCAAGAGCTATAACTCTACAAAGTGCTCTAAAAATTCAGTTTCCAAATCTGAGAAGATCAAGAAGAACCATATTTCCTATATCTGCAGAAGGAATCCAATGAGATTCCGCATAATTGCATTTGCCCAGGTTGTTGCTGCCAAGCGTATCCAAAGAGCAATTAGAGAGTTTACTCTAGCAAAGAAAGAGGCTAAAAAGAGAGAACTTGAGGATTCCCTAATCAGGATCAGAGAGAACCGTGCCAGAAAGGTCATCTACCTCCGTGTTTCTACCTTCTTCTTGAAGAAGAAACATTTCAGGGAGATTTTGATTCAGCATCAGAGTGAAAACTTAAATGGAATCTTACTGATTCAGAGGAGATTTAGGCATAATCATACTAAGTTGAAGAAGATGAACATTCCAAGGTTTAAGCAACTATTTGCTGCCTTCCTTATAGGATGGAAGGTTAGAAGAGTAATGACTTATCTTAAAACCCTACCTGAGATTAAAGAAGCTGTTGATTTCATCAAACTCAGAAATGACATTAAAGATGAAGAAACTGTTGATCTATTTTCACAAAGAATCATCCAGCAGTACCCTGAAAAGGCAAAATTTTTCCATACGAACTTTACTTCAATATATTCAAGTGGTAAATGGTTCAATGCTGACTGAAAAGAGACTCAAGCTCCTAAGAAGAAGATCTGAAAATCAAGGGCTAAAGCTGCTTCAAAAGTACTAAATTTCAGTTAAATAAATTATAGATATGAAAGAAATCAAAGAAATTAAAGTCTAATCCTTCAAAATTTTCCAAGAATAAGAACTTGACAAAGCATGAATCAGTGAAGACCACCAAGGAACCAATTCATCCATCAAAGCCTGTTGAGAAGAAACCAAGCAAGCCTAACTGTCTCATGGCTGTGAGAGAAAAATCAGTTCTTCCAACTGCTAAGGCAGATGCTCACAACAACACCATTGGTTGCATAAATGTGGCTAAAACTAATCTTCATCATAGTAAGCCCAAGAAGAAGTTTGCAAGGCCAACTGCCAATAAAAGGCAGATTGATATTACTGGGGATGAATCCCCGAAACAAATCAAGAGGGACAAATCAGGCAACCTCTTCTCTTGAAACAGAAGCAAACTCCATACTATTGAGGAATACAGGACTGCAAGAAAGAAGAGAAACAGTAGCCTTAGCAATAGCTTTAATCATTCTAGTCTTAATGCACTAGATGCTCTAAAGAGTAAGAAGATTGCAGCTGATCCAAGAGCATCATACGATACTGTGAAGTTTAGAAGTACGAGAAATAAAGGAGCTCGTGAATCTAAAACTGCATTGAACTATAGTAACAGACTCGCCCATCAAAATACAACTGTGATAAACCAGAACTCAGACCTCAGTATCTTACAAGATTCTGTGAATTATGAGAAACCTCAGACTTCTGGGAATGATCTTTGCAATTCGACTATTTCTTCAAGTACCAAGATAATCCAGTATGGAGGTTGCAAAAAGAAGGTTAACTATGACTCTCTTGGATTAGCAGCTAATCTGATCAAGACAATCCTAGAGCAAGTAAATTCCGATCCTTCTCTTCAGCTATCTGTGTTATGTGAGGTCCAAAACATGATTGGGAAGCCTGACCAGTGCCTAGCATCTCAATCAAAATCTACAAATCTGAATTTGCGGAGATCAATCAAGAAGTTCAGCAATAATGATAATAACACGATTGAATATGAGGTCACTGTTTCTCATATCCAAGATCTCCTGAGAAAAGGAGATCTCTCTTAACATTTTCATCTAACTCCAATTTCATTACTTAGAAATGGGGTTTTGGGGTTTTGGGGTTTTGGGGTTTTGGGGTTTTGGGG